GTGGCAAGCCAACGGGGGGCGGCAGAGCTAGTGGCCCTCGGCCCAACCCGCTACCGTGCGTTGGTGGTAGGTCAGAGCCTCTTGGCCTGTCTTTGGGCCGCTGTGAGGCCGCAGAAACCATGTGGGAAGGCGCCCCAGGCGCGCTGGGAGCTCCGGGAGATTTGAGAATTCGGGGTCTGGGCCCCTTGACAGATTCTCTCCGGACTGGGAACGGCTCCTCCTCCTCCTCCTCCTCCTCCTCCACCTCCTCCTCCTCCTCCTCCTCCTCCTCCTCAAGCTCAGGGAATTGGGCAAGGGACCCGAGAGCCTTCCAGCTCGTGCCTCGCAGGCACCTGGTGGCAGATGGGGTCATGACGGGCCTGGGCGCCCCCGTCCTGGGGCCCATTGATCTCTCCCGGGCCACGCCCGCTCGAGGGAGGTCGAGAGAAGTCCGTGTCGCGAGTGCCCGTCGTCACCTGTGCGTGGCGTCGCCTGGCTGAGCTCTCCGCGACGTCGGATGCCGGGGCAGAGAGCGAGTTTTTTTTTTTTTTTTTTTTTTTTTTGCAATCCTTCGTTTATTTTTTTGCAATCCTTCGTTTTTGTTTGCAATCCTTCGTTTTTTTTGCAACCCTTCGTTTTTTTTGCAATCCTTCGTTTTTTGTTTTGCAATCCTTTTTTGCAATCCTTCGTTTTTTGCAATCCATCGTTGGTTGGCTCGGATCTGGATGGTCCGGTTGCCGCAGAGGCCTCGGGACAGACCGCACGAGGGGGGCAGAGGTGATTGCCGTCCTGGGCGGTTCAGTCCGATGCCTCTGTTGGAAAAAAAGACCCCCTTTATCCCTAATGTCTCTGGCTCTCCTGCATTAGGACCCCTCCCTAAAGGTTGGGGGTCCTTTGTTGTTTAATTTTCTTTTTTCCCCATCCGACCGCGGGGGCCTGCGCATCATTCCCCACTTGCGCGGAGACCGTGTTGGTCTTTGGGGGCACGGTAGCACGCCAGGGAGATGGGTCTCGACTTCGGCGAGCCGCAGCCGAGCGGAGGTTCCGTGTGGCTCTCTGCACATTCAACACCACATGCCCTGCGCGATCTAGAGCCTGATCGCGCGCGTGGTCCTACAGTCTGCACCGCACGGCCACGCGCAGGGCTCGTTTCGATTCCTCCGATTCGACTCGATTCGATTCGATTTCGATGTATTCCGATTCCGATTCGATTCGACTTCGGATTCCGATTCGGATTCCAATTTCTCGATTCCACTTTCTAGATGAGGCATTACTACTCTGCCCAGTTCTGCCGATTCGACTCCTCCCGATTTGGATGCCGATTCAATTAATTTAGATCGCCGATTCGACTTATCGATTCGATTCTGGGCTCTCCTGCACGCGTGACCGCTTGCCGAAGGTCCCGTGAAGCATGCGGCCCTCAGGGCAGCACGCCTTACAGGGCCTCGGGCTGCGCTCATGGGGCATACGTGGGCACTCGACGGCCTTCTAGGGAACGTCTCGGCAGCCTCGGGACCGTCCCTTGTTTCGGGCCGTCGTGGGCCGTTCCTCACAGGGGGGCAGCCGCAGGAGGGGGAGGAGGAGGAGGATGAGGAGGAGGAGGAGGAGGAGGAGGAGGAGGAGGAGGAGGAAGAAGAAGAGAAAAAGGAGGAGGATAATGATGATGAGGAGGAGGAAAGGAAGGAGAGGATGGGAGGGAGGGAGAAGTAGGGGGAGGAGGAGGAGAGCAGCAGGAGGAGCAGGAGGAAGGAGGAGGAGGGGGAGAAGGAGGATGAGGATGAGGATGAGGATGAGGAGGATGAGGAGGAGAGGAGGAGGAGGAGGAGCAGGGAGGGATGAGGCAGCGCCGCGCGCCGCCCTTTGGAACGCGCGCGGCTGCCTCATCCCTCCCTGCTGCCCTGCGATCTCGTCGGAGCCTGCCGCATGCCGTTATCTCAAGCAGGGCGCGCCTGTCAAAGATGCCGCCTTCTCCAAGAGGCGGCTTCTCTTTGAGCTTGTTTGCCGGTCGCGCCTCCGCGGCTGGATTTACAGTGTCGCCGCCCTCATCCCCCTCCTTTTCCTCCTCCTCCTCCTCCTCCTCCGCCTCCTCCTCCTCCTCCTCCTCCTCCTCCTCCTCCTCCTCCTCTCCTCCTCGGCGGCCCCGTCGCCGCCTGCGCGTGCCCGCCGACGACCGCGACCCGTTTCGTCCCCTGGCGCCTCCTTCTCCTTAGTGTGGAGCTGAACCTTCCTGGTACGCTGGGTTCTCCTCCTCCTCCTCCTCCTCCTCCTTCGACTCCTCCTCCTCCACCTTCCTCTTCCTCCTTCTCCTCCTCCGCCTCCTCCTCTTCCCCCTCCCCCTTCCTCTTTCCCTCTTCTCCTCCTCCTTCTCCTCCTCCTCCTCCTCCTCCCTCCTCCTTCTCCTCCTCCTCCTCCTCCTCCTCCTCCTCCCCCTCCCCATCCCCCTCCTCCTCCTCCTCCTCCTCCTCCTCCTCCTCCTCCTCCCCTCTCTCCTCCTCCCTCCTCCTCCCTCCTCCTCCTCCTCCTCCTCCTCCTCCTCCTCCTCCTCCTCCTCCTCCTCCTCTCTTTCTCATCCGCCTCATCCTCATCCTCATCCTTCTTCTCCTCATCCTCATGCTCCTCCTCCTCCTCCTCCCTCCGCCTCCTCCTCCCCTCCTCCTCCTCTTTCCCCCTCCTTCGTCTCCTCCTCCTCCTCCTCCTCCTCCTCCTCCTCCTCCTCCTCCCCCTCATTTTCCCCTCCTCTCCTTCTCTCTCTCTCTCTCTCTCTCTCTGTTTTTTTTTTCTCTCTGTCTCTCTCTCTCTCTCTCTCCATTTTTTCTTTAAATATACACATGTGTATATATATATATGAGAGAGAGAGAGAGAGAGAGAGCGAGAGAGAGACGCGGCGAGGGGGGCCGCCCGGCCCCGAGGAGTCTCCAGAGTTCCCAGGTAGCCTCCGGAGCCCACGGGAGGGCCGGAAGGCCGAAAAGACCCTGAGCTCCCCTGGGGGGACCTCGATGCTGTTCGTGGGCGAAGAGCATGTCCATATCTGCAGCCTCGCGGGCAGGAGCCCTGGGTCGCGACCGTATGGATGCGGCGCGTCGTTGCGCGGATGCCCCGCGCGGGACGTACCCGCGCGACCGCGTAGTTATCCGCGGGATCGCGCCCCTGAATCCAGACCTCGAGGTCGCGGATGCGAACATGTTCGCCGCTCGTGAGTTGTAGGATGCATGTCCTGGGAGACCAGATTTAGCGTCGGCCTTGGTATCTCCGTGGTCGAGATCCCGCCTGAACTGGCGCAGTCCCGAGCGGTCCGGCCCGTGATTCTGCCAGATTATCAAATCCGGCCGAATCTGGCTTGATCCCGGGCGGAATCCAGCCTACACACGGTTCCTCTTTGATTATTTGAAAATTCTTGTGATATCTTGGGGGGCCAAGCCTTTTTCATTTCTCACTGTTTTATCCCCTGGGCCCCTTCAAGAGGGGGCCAGGAACAGTCAGAAACGAACGCGACTAGGAATGAGCACGCTGAGAAATGACCGACGCGCACCCTCACCAGCGACTGCAGAGGGTCTGATCGCGCCGGGGTGTGGCTTGCAATCGGCACCGCCCGCGGCCCGACGGGGGGCACGCGACGCCACCCCCGATCGGGCCTCCGCTCAGGGCGGAGAGCGCAGAGCTGCGTCGAGAGGCCTCCGCCCGCCCCCCCCAGGGGGGTGCCCTTCTCAAGGGCAACGATACGGGGGGATAGGCATTGGCATCGCCCAATCCTCCTCCTCCTCCTCCTCCTCCTCCTCCTCCTCCTCCTCCTCCTCCTCCTCCTCCTCCTCCTCCTCCTCCTCCTCCTCCTCCTCCTCCTCCTCTCCCTCCTCCTCCTCCTCCTCCCCTCCTCCTCTCCTCCTCCTTTCCTCCCCCCCCCAGCGCGCCGGCGGTCCTTCTCCGGGTTGAAGAAGCCAGGGGCGATTGGGGCATGGACCCCCAATCGCCCATTGATCGCCGAGAGGTGTCCGATAGCCCCAGCCTCCCCAGGAACGGGCGCATGCACCATTGGGGGCCCATCGCCGACGTCTCGGCGATGTATCGCCGGTTCCAGGTCGATGTTTCCCCCCCCCCCTCACTTGAACGAAGGATTGCAAAAAAACCGAAGGATTGCAAACAAAAACCAGGATTGCAAAAAAAAACCAGGATTGCAAAAAGGATTGCAAAAACATTTTTTTTTTTTGCAATCCTGGTTTTTTTTTGCAATCCTGGGTTTTTTTGCAATCCCTATCCCCCCCTCACCGTTGCCCCTCACCTTCAGGGTGCCGATTGCAGGCCGCGCCCTCTGCAAACCACACCCCCTTCGGGGTCGCCGACCGAATCCCAAAGCCCCACGCCTCGAAGGTTGATAGACTTCCTGCCCTGACACGTCGATTAGTGAATTGGCCGTTTTCGGTTCGCGAGCGGGAGTCGCGGCCGTCATTTTTGCGGGTCCAGGCCCGTCGGCTTCTGTCCTAGGCCGTTTTCACTAGAAAGGGAGGTGTACCAAAGGGTGGCTTGTCCACCGCCGAAAGCCCTAAACCAGCCCGAGTCTTTGGTCGTCCCTGCGAAGACACTCCCAGGAGTGTTTTTTTCTCTTTCTCTCTCTCTCTCTCTCTCTCTCTCTCCTGGGTGCCCCAGATTCGTAGGTCGACCCTGCCAGACCAAGGGTACCCTCGTGTCCTGTGTCCTGCGACCCCTGCCTCCTGCATTCCTGTGGCAGTCCCAGAGATCCGACGCCGTGTTTTTTTCAATACGGGGTCCCCGGAAGTCTCGACCCCGTCCCCAGGACCGGTTTTCATCCTGAGTCGGTTTTTGACGGTCCTTGGGCCCGGCGAGGGCCCCTAATTAGAGGCCGAAAGTAAAGACAAAATTCCGTCGTGATTTGTTCAATCCGTTCGATCTCTGGGGTGTGGCCCTCGGAAGGGCCTCGTGTCCTCTCGCGCGTCCTGCCCCATCGAGTCCGACTGTGGGTGCCTCCGATCCCCGCGGGCCCTCGCGCGGCCCGCCCCGGCGCGGCGGAGGTCCGTGGACTCCCAGGAGATGACCCTGCGCCGCGCCTCAGTGCGGTCGGCCAGGCCGCGCCGCCGCCGCACGCCGTGGCGGCGCTTTTGCGCCTCCTGCCCCCACGGGCACTCGCACCCAGAGATCGAACGCAATGAAGAAATCACGACGGAGGTTTGTCTTTATTTTCGGCCTCTAGGGGCCCTCGCCGAGCCCAAGGACCGTCAAAAACCGACTCAGGATGAAAACCGGTCCCGGGGACGGGGTCGAGACTTCCGGGGACCCCGTATTGAAAAAAACACGGCGTCGGATCTCTGGGTTACGGGAGACGGGGGACGCAGCTCACACACTGGGGGGACGGGAGATGTTTGTTGTTCATTGCTGGGCTTCGCTGTTGCGTGCACAGTACCCTGAAGGCTGACTGGGAGGGTGGCGCTCCGGACCTCGCGAGGATCCGCCACTTTCGCCACCTCTCAGCCGGCGCTCGAAGGAGAAAGAAAAGGATGAGGGGCCCGAGCCCCCCTCGGGGCCCCTCCCGAAGACAGGGCCTCCCTGGGGGACGGGAGAGGAGGGAGGAAGGGAGGCGGGCACGGGAGTGGGCGGAGGGAAGGGCGCGGCCTGCCCCGGTCTTCTTCCTTCCGGCATGGACGCGGTCGTTGGCGGGTGCACCCTTGGGCGGCTTTGGGGGACGCGCACGGAACGACGAGGCGTATACATTTACACACCGCCGGTGGCCATGCCTCCTCCTCCTCTTCCTCCTCCTCCTGCTGCTCCTCCTCATCCTCCACCTCCTCCTCCTCCCCCTCCCCCTCATCCCCCAAGAGTGGCCCTCCTCCGGAGTGACCTTCGGTGCGCGGCTCTTGGGGGACGCTGCGGGGCTGAGCCCAAGCCCAAGCTCGCAGGCCGTTGCTGCCGCACTGCACGCAGCGGCCGACAAGCCGCGAGCCCAAGGGCCATCTTTGCCTGTGGTCTCTCTTACGTTGCAGCCGGCGTTGCTGCCCACTGCTCCCCGCGCGCGCCCTGGCCTGAGCCTTGCTCTTCTACCGAAGCGGCCAATCGGCCTCCTTCTTTACCTGGGCATCTGGGCATCTTTGGGCCCTCGCCTCCTCCTCCTTCTCCTGCTTCTCCTCCTCCTCCTCCTCCTTCTCCTCCTCCCCCTCCTCTCCTCCCTCTCCTGCCCCTCCTCCTCCGCCTCCTCCTCCTCCTCCTCCTCCTCGTCCTCCTCCTCCTCCTCCTCCCCCTCCTCTTCCCCCTCCTCCGCCTCCCCCTCCTCCCCCTCCTCCTCCTCCTCTGCCTCCCCCTCCTCCTCCTCCTCGTCTTCCTCAACCCCTCCTCCTCGGCATCCCGGGGCCCTCGCCGGGAGGGGGTCCTGCGTGCTGCCCCCCGGGCCCCGGCCCGGGTGGCCCGCAGTGGCCCAGGATGGCAGGCGCGAGCACGCGCCGGGGCCCTCGGGTCTGCCGGCACTTTTCGGACGAGCGCGTCCTGTTTTTTGTTTCGGTTGACCCCAACATGTTGGCGTCTCGGGCCGGACGAAAGGGGGGGGTGGGGAAAGGGGGGGTTGCGAAATCTGCTGCATGCAGCTGGTTTCGGCCCCACCGAGGGGCCCGTTCCTCGATACATGGCCGCCTCCCAGCGCCGGAAGGCGCCGGGAAAGTCAGCTACATGAGCTGATTCTCACACCCCCCTTTGTTATCCCCCCCTTTCGCCCGACCCGAGCATCGCTCGAACGTGTGCATAGATCCTTCGGCGAGGACCATCGAGGAGCATCCTTGATCATTTGGCGGAAAAACCACGCACGAGACCGAACGAAAAACACAGGGACTGGACGTCCGAGCGATGGCCCGAACATGGGGTCCAGCGATAAGATGGTGTAACAGAGCTGGTGCAACATATTTGCGGGGTTGCGATACTTTTCTGGCGTGCAATACTTTCCGGTGCGCAAATGTATTGCTGGGCTGTCGCGTGCATTGCATTCGTTGCAATAACATACAATACACCTCCCTGGTGCAATCCATGTACATTACAGTTGCCCAAAACCTTTTGCACCACCCCCTTGTCGCTGGACTCCCCTTTGGCTCAACCGAACTCCTTGGTTTGAGGGTCTAGTCTTCGTGGGATGTTTGCAGCGGGAACTCACGTCAAATTTAAGACGGGCTTCGTCATTTTCATGGTGGCCTTGTCAGGCCAACCCGAGTCCCTAGAACCCGAGTCTTTCGTCTCCCCTCTCGGTTTGCTGTCATTTCATGTGGTCGCCCGTGTTAGTTTCATCGGCATCCCGCGGCTGAGTCTGGGGCGACGCGGCCAATCATCACATCGCGCGCGCCCGTTGCAACTGCGAGGATGATGCCTACAGCACAGAAGCACTGCAGAACTTCGCCCCCCACCACCCCCGCGCTCGGACTCACTGAACCCCTCTGGCGCGCTGGAGTGCACGATTGGTGCTCCCCTCTTGGGAGCAAGGGAGCAGGCCTGACCACGACTTCGACGGACTCGATCACGATCCCTTGACGGCGACTTCCAGAGACCCCAGCATTTTGAACAAGACAAGACGAAGCGCGTTCTAGATGGTGGGTCCCCTGGGGCACCGCCACTGGGCCCTGAAAGAAAGATATTCGCACAATTGGCAGAACATCTGACACCAGGAAGGTGGGCCGAGATCTCAGGGGAGCCCTCGCGCCCAACCGAAACGATGAAATGAGGACCGCTCCGGGTTCGGAAGGGGCTCGCTGCTTCTTTGGTCAGCCCATGGCTGTTCCTCCAGCCATCGTCGTGCACCCAGTCTCCCAGAGATCCGACGTCGTGATTCTTTCAAGACGGGGTCCCCGGAAGTCTCGACCCCTTTTTCACCCTGAGTCGTTTTTTGACGGTCCCGAGGCCCGATGAGGGCCCCCAGAGGCCGAAACTAGCGACAAGCTTTTGCCGTCATGTTTCCCACACGTTCGATCTCCGGGGTCTCTGGCGTGCCACAAAGAGGGGCCTCGTCCCCCCTCGAGCGCTCCTTCGTTGCAGCAGCCCCGCTGCATCTGGCCGGGCTCGGCGTCGGCGGTCCGGGCGCCCCCCCCGCTCCACGGGCGGCGGCTCGATGACACGCGCGGCCCCGCGCGGTCTGCGATCGGGGCCCGAGAGTATACACCACCACCACCTCCACCACCACCACCACCACCACCATCATCCCCAGAGGTCGAACGAATTGAAAAAAACACGACGGAGGTTTGTCGCTATTTTCGGCCTCTGGGGGCCCTCGCCGGGCCCCAGGACCGTCAAAAAACCGGTCCTGGGGAAGGGGTCGAGACTTCCGGGGACCCAGTATTGACAAAATCACAACGTCGGATCTCTGGGTCGTCATCATCATCATCATCATCATCATCATCATCATCATCATCATCACGACCTCCCTCACCCCCATCCCCCCCCCAGGGAGGAGGAGTGGAGGAGGATGGTAGAGGGGGGAGGAGGAGTCGACGTGGTGGTGGTGTATAGTCTTGGGGCCCGCAGCTTCTGCTTTGCAGGCTCGCTCAGTACAGCCAGTAGCCAAAGACGGGAACGTAAGGCACGGTCGAGGTTCGGAAGGGGCTCGCTGTTCCCCAGGTCTTTCCGTGGTTGCTCTCCTCCAGCCTTCCTCGTCCTCCTCCTCCTCTACCTCCTCCTCGTCCCTGCCCCTTCCAACCCTCAGCGTGCACGCAGGCGCAGCTGGTGCTAAAGGGGCGCCGTTCCGTATCCAGCGTCCCCTACTTGAACAGACCGACTTGCTTCCGACGGCTCCGCCGCCTCGTCAGACTGGCATGGGCACGAACGGCACGGCCTCTCCGTGCACAGCCAGCACGCGCGCGCATGGTCGAGGAGGCGAGGGGGCAGGAAACTCCGCTTCGGCGGTGCTAGTGGCGGTGGCACGAGGGACGCTGGGGACGAAGATCTGCGTGGCACCAGCACTTGTTGTTCACCACCCACCAAACCACCCCAACCCAACCCGAAGGCTCAGATTCACCCTCGATTTCTAGTGGGGGGGGGGCCGGGAAACATCGGACACGCGTGGAACCTTTACCGCACCCAACCCGAAATTCGGGTTTTCGGGTCGGGTTGGGGTGGTCTGGCATGTAGTCAGTTGTGGAACCGTGGACAGGGGGTCAGCAGCGAGGGAGTGGGAGGGCCCTGAGAGTCGGATCGCCCGCGGAGGCGCTGAGCTTGCCGTCGCCACCGCGCGCCCGTCTGCACGGCTGTCGGAGTTCTCCCCGGCAGGGCAGTCCCGGGTCCCGGAAATTGCCGCCCCCTTCTCCTCCTCCTCCTTCTCCTCCTCCTCCTCCTCCTCCTCCTCCTTCTCCTCCTCCTCCTCCCTCCTCCTCCTCCTCTTCCTCTTCCTCCTCTTCCTCCCCTTTCTTCCCTCCCTGTGCTTGACCCCCTCGAGTCTTCGAGACACTGCGTGCAGGGAGGACGGCGCGGACCCCTGCCACGAAGACCGCGCGAGGCCCTCGCCACGCCCCCCCCCTCCCCTGGCCCGGGCGCGCAGGAGCGAGATGTCGCGTGCCCCCCGCCCCTCCTTCGGCGCCGCCCACCAAGTCTCAAGGGCGTGGCAAACGCCCCTGCCCTGGCTTGCGAGGCGCTGTGCGCTGAAAGTCCTGTGGGCCGACAGGGTAAGCCCTGGGTGGTGTGCGGCCTCCTGGCGGCTCTCTCTCTCTCTCTCTCTCTAGGCTCTGGAGGTTCCCAGGAGGTTAACAGACCACGCGCTTGCAACCCAGGGTAGGGTCGCGTTTTTTGTTTCATCCTTCCCAAGCCACCTAAAACCAACCCGAAGGCCCCGGTCTGCCCCGGTCAGGGAACACTGAAGAAAAAAACATATGAGGCCCGTCCCCTTCCCCCCCGCTCCCATCTGATATTCGAGTCTTCGGGTTGGGTTGGGGTGGTATGGTCGGCAGTCAGTTCGTCTCTCTCTCTCTCTCTTTCTCTATCTAGGGGAACGAAGAATGAAATAAACATAAAACAAACTCGGAGGTCCGCGCAGATTGCTCGGATCCGCGCTGCCGCGCGCCAGGGGCGGCGCCGGAGGCGCCGCCAGGGGGGCCCCAGCACGGAGCCGAGCAATCTGCGCGGACCTCAGAGCTTTCATGTTTATGTCATTCTTCGTTACTCTCTCTGTCTCTCCTCTCTCTCGCCCCTTCTGTCTTTGTCTCTCTCGTTGGCATGGGGCAGCCCTATTCCTGCGTTGAATTCCCAAGCAGCAGCGGCAGCGGCGGCGGTGCTGGGCCTCTGGTGGTGTGGTGGCAGCGGCGGCGGCAGCGGGAGGAGGAGGAGGAGGAGGAGGAGGAGGAGGAGGAGGAGGAGGAGGAGGAGGGATGGGGAGGAGGAGGTGGAGGAGGGGCGAGGAGTCCCAACGGCCTCGATCCTCTGTCGTCTGCCCTCCTCCTGGTCGGCCCTTCCCTCCTCCTTCTCGACTCCTTTCCGAGGCTGCGGGGAAGGGTGGCGGCGGCGGCACTGTCGGTGGTGACGATAGCGGCAGCACTAGCAGCGGAAGCAGGAGGAGAAGGAGGTGAGAGGTAGAGGTGCGAGGATTGAGGTCGGTTCTCGAAGATTGTTGCTTTCTTACGGGAATCGTTATGCTTGAGTTCATTGCTGATGAGCCCATCGTGCATGGGAAGACCTTGCGTGGACATTGCGTTACGAGTCGCCGTGGAGGACTCGACGGTTCGAACGTCACCTGCACTAGCTTTCATGTACCAATGTTTGTTCAAGGCATTGCGATTGAGAGTCCCCTCACGCAAGAATTCGTCCTCCATCATCCGTAGCCGTTTTGTCTCAAGGCTCGAACCCGCTCAGCACAGCAAGGGTACAGCGGAGGTCGTGCGAAATCCCCGACGAGCTCGCACAAACCACTGCCCAGTACTTTGGTACAGCATTTGCAGCCAAGACATCATCATCATCATCATCATTATCATCATCATCATCATCATCATCATCATCATCATCATCAGCATCATCATCATCATCATCATCATCATCAACAACATCATCATCATCATCATCATCCTCAACCTCATCTTAATCATCCTCCTCCTCCTCATCATCATCATCAACATCCTCGTGCTGCGTGCGATCGCCCTAGCGCCCCTCGTCGGCGGAGCCCTGCGTCTGAGCATTTTCCTCGCACGAGGGGCACGTCGGCGTGCTTGCTGAGCTGCCCTGTGTGGAGGGCCGGTCGTCGAACTCTTCGACGTCTGAGCGTCCCTTCTTCATCTCGGCCGTCCCCCCCCCACCCCCCCCACTCTTTGTTCGCCGGCCAATTGGCCAGTTAGTGCCCCTATCTAGCTTCTAGCTGAAGCGGAGTTCGCCGCCTCGCCGCTGACGGAAAAAGTGTGGAGGGCCGCATGCACGAGTGGTCTGCTCCTCTGAGTGCGCTCTCGCCGGCAGCGCGCCTCGCGGAAGCTCGGCCTGGACTGCTGCAGAGGGGGGACTCTCAGTAGGGAAGCGAATTGTGACATGAACATGAAAGCTCGGGGGTCCGCGCGGATTGCTTGGCTCGGCGCCAGACCCCCCTCTGGCGCGCGGAGAGCGCCAGGGGCGGCGCCGGAGGCGCCGCCAGGGGCGGTCCCGCGCGGATCCGAGATATCCGCGCGGACAACCGAGTTATTATGTTTATGCCACCCTTCGTTCCCCTACCCTACCCTCTCTCTCTCTCTCGCCCCTTCTCTCTTTGTCTTTCTCGTTGGCAGGGATCCGAGAGATCCGCGCAGATCCGAGGAATCCGCGCGGACCTCGGGGTTTTCATGTTTATGTCCTCTTTCGTCCCCCTGCTCGGGGACGGGGGGCCCTGGGCCCCGGGGCTCTCCCCGAGGCCGGCCCGTTCATCCTCAGCCGTTGCTGGCGGCGGCCCCCAGGCACGAGGAGGGCCCCGGGAGGCCCCAGGCTGAAGGCGGGCATGTCCCGCTGCAGGTGGACTATTCAATAAGATTTAAAGCACAGTTTGGGCACGATGTTTGGATTAGCTGTTACTGTGTTCGGATGTGTTTTGAGTAATGCGCCTGTAGGAGGACATGCCCGTCCTGACCCAAGGCGGCGAACTATCTCGGAACCTCTCTCCCTCTGGACCCCTCGTATTTATGGCGGAGCGTGGGGGTCCGTGACTCACTCCTGCAGGGCGGCCCTGTCCATCCCAGTGGTTGTGGCCAGTCTCCGGCTCGACCTTCTTAGCAGCGGTATATGCCCGACCACCTTAATGCGGACATCCCGTCGTGGTGGAGCTGAAGTCTCTTTGTCTTGACGCCGAAGTTGAAGGAGGACGGCTCAACCTATTGTATTCCGATTCGAATCACCCGAGCGGGCCTTCGCGAATGTCTCCCATGCACCGGAACCTGGAGCGCCTGAGCTCCGCACAAGATGAGTCTTGCTTATGAGGTCAACCGGTTTGCTGGCTGACCGAGCAACTTCATCTTCAATTGCTGGTCTCCGTGCTGCAGTCATTACAGTCATTGCAGCTCTCGCCTCGGTCGGGTTGGACGCCAGGAGCTTCCCTTCGCGAGCGACATCCTCGCGGCAAACAGGCCTCTGATGCTGCGTCCTGCACAAGCAAACGTGTCTGGAATCAACAACAGTTGACTGAGGCTGCTGCTATTCTGGAGGAGGAGGGGGAGGAAGGGGGGGTGGGGGAGAGGAGGAGGAGGAGGAGGAGGAGGAGGAGGAGGAGGAGGAGGAGGAGGAGAGGAGGAGGAGAAGGAGGGAATGAGTAGGTCAGGAGCAGGGTGATGGGGAGGAGGAGGAGGAGGAGGACCGCCAGCGCTCTGCACGTTCAGCCCCCTCCCTAATCATTGTCAAGCCAGAGCCGCCCACCTTAGAGCAAAGGATCCAGCAGGCTCAGTTTTCTCTGAAGGCCGCTGGGTCCAAGCATCATCGTGTGGCCTCGCTGTTCGTGGGCGAAACCCAGGTTTTTTGTTGCACTCACTGCGCTGCATGCACCACCCAGCGCCTGGTGTCCCTTGCGAGTGAGTGCCAGCCCCGTCATCTTTCGAAGGATCGTCGCCTTATCCTGGAACGATTGAGACGGGGCGAGTACTGTTTAGCCAAGAGCGTTCTGAGGTATGCAGGTTATCGCCTGCTCCCAGAGCCCTAATCCTTGTCTGTGGCTACCCCACGGGGGGCGCGGTGCGAGTGGGGACTGCCCGGCGGTGCGCCGTTAGTGACCCTCGCACCGTTGCTCCCCGGCCCCGCGCACGGCGCGGAGTGTGTCCGATGGGCGCGGCTAATGGCGGTTGCAAGGTGCGCCCCTAGCCGCGTTCGAGGTCCTGCTGAGGCACCATAGACTCTGTGGCGCCCCAGGCTGTGCCCAGGTGGAGGGGGAAGAGGAGTAGGAGGAGGAAGAGAGGAGGATGAGGAGGAGGAGGAGGAGGAGGAGGAGGAGGAGGAGGAGGAGGAGGAGGAGGAGGAGGAGGAGGGGGAGCAGGAGGAGGGGGAGCAGGAGGAGGAGGCGGAGGAGGAGGAGGAGGAGGAGGAGGAGGAGGAGGAAGGGGGGGTGGGGGAGGAAGAAGGGAAAGAGGAGGCTGTCTTGCGGCACCCCTGAAGTACAGGCTGACCCTTCCCTTCCTCGGCTTCATCTCCTGATTGTGCTCGAGCGGATGCGTGCGAAATGATGACGCGGAGAGTCGAGCAGGGGCTCCGCGCTTCGACTGTGGGAGCCTCTCCCGGATAGGTCCATGCTAGGCTTGGGCTCTGGTTTTTGTTCGACTTCGACGCCATCTCCTCGATGAATCTTCCCCTCTGCGCTCTGGCACCGGCGTCGAGAAATCCAGACAGAGAGGAGAGTCCGTCTGGTGCGCTCGAGGCGTGGGCCCGTCTAGAGTCTAGTGCCAGAGGTGATCCTCCTGCCAATGGTTTCTCTGCTCCCTCCCTTCGGATGCAACTCCTGGGAGGTAAAGCTCGGATTTTGCTCTGGTCCAAAATCCGGGCTAATCCAACCCAATCTCGCTTAATCCGCGGCCTTATCCGGCGCAGCAGCCACCAAATGGGGTTCCATTCTCTTTGCTCCTTCCGATGACAACCTCCCAGCAGCTGCTTCCCAATCCTCCCCGCATCCTCCCATGGGAACGCTTTTCTCTCTCTCTCTCTCTCTCTTTCTCTCTCCAGCTGAGCGAGCGATTTCGGACACCCTGGACCTAAAACCTTGTTCATCTCTTGTGGTCGCATGTTTCACTTCCTCCGCCTTCCGGCGCCATGCCGCCGGCTTTTGCTGGCGGAGGTGGCATCGTTTTACTTCCGCCGACCTTCCTCCGCCCTCCCGCCGCCTTCAGCCGAAGAAGAGCTGACAATTCCGTCCCCTCGAAGGCAAAACCCTTTTGAAGCGCCGCCTCGTTTCACTTCCGCCGACCTTCCGCCGCCCTTGAGCCGAGGAAGAGCTGACAACTCCTTTCGCCCTCGAAGGCAAGGCCATTCTTGAAGCGCCCCGGATATGTCTGGTCCTTTCTTGGGTGTTCCCTCGGGGGGGGGGCCTGCTGTCCACCGACACCTCGGTCTTGGCCATAGGCTTAAGTCGGGCACGTCCCTGTACAGGAGGAACAAGTCAACTAGCCAAACAAAACGTATGGGGACGATTTTCCATTATTGTTTAAATTATGTTCGAACGTTCCCTGGCTATTTGTTCACGTAAAATCAGCCTGTAGGAGGACGTGCCCGACCGAATCTTGGCCATAGGCCAGCCCTGGGCCCCAGATCGAAGTGTGCAGTGGAAGCCCCTGCCGAGAAACACCCTGCGTGCATCCAGGGTGCCCTGGGCTTCTTGGGTTTCGATGGTGTTGCTGTGGAGGGCGTGGCGTTCCCGCACCAAAATCAATCCCTGAGATCCGATGTCTCAAACAACATTGGGACGCCGTGAAACATCGCGCCCGGAACCCTAGACCCAATCTTTCTGCGCCATTTGCCGAGGCCGATCGATCTGTGAGGGCCCCCGGGGCCCGAGAAGAGACGAAAACGCCCGGCTCGAAAAAATCGAGGCGCTAGGATCTCAGGGCTGGGCGTCCTGGGGTCTCCGCCAGGTGGGGGCTTCTGGGTCCACCTCGACCGTCTGGGTCCGAGCGCACCCCTGGACGGGACGGGGGATCGGCTCCTGGAAGCAGAGGAAGAGGCGGAGGAGGAGGAGGACGAGGAAAAAGAGGAGGAGGAAGAGGAGGAGGAGGAGGAGGATCAGGAGGAGGAGCATGAGAGGAGCAGGAGGTCGAGCTCCCTCCGCACGCCTTCACGGCCTGCCTCTGGCCAGGCCCAGGGGGGGGGGGGGGGGAGAGTCCGCGGCTCGTGGGGCCTCCTCCCCCGCGTGCCGCCGACGCTTCCCGCAGGACAGCTGGCGCTGCACAACTCCAAGTAACTCAGGAGGGAAGAAACACACAGGCACAATGAATCGTCGATTCCCAGAAAGGATGGGAAAATATGGGAAGTGGGGGGGAAGACAACACCCCAGAAAATATGCGAAACCATAGGGAATCCAGTTAGTTGTGTGTATTTATTTGTGTGTCCCAGGGCCCCTTCAGCAACCACCACTCACCAAACCACCCCAACCCAGCCCGACGGCATCAATTAGCCCTCCGTTTTCAGTGGGGGGGGGAGCGGGGAGCATCGACAAGAACACATGCGGAGCCAATACCCCCAACCCGAAATTCGGGTCTTCGGGTTGGGTTGGGGTGGTCTGGTGGGTAGCCAGGTAAGGCGAACGGTTAGGGGAATCTTGGGCGAGCTGTCCTCGACTCCAGCTCTCTGCATGTGCTGTGCTCTTCGATCACGCGTCCACGTCGGGAGGAGCGGCCCAGCCATCCAGCGCCTTGAGCCAATCGGGACGACGGCCTGCTTTGCGGACGGGTCGCCCTCCGACGGGGGGGGGGGGGAGGAGACGCGGCACCACCAACCGTTGGCCAGCGCCTCCAGGCGCGATGCCACCCCCTGCGCAGCCGAGCTGGAGGTTGGAGACGTCTCGAGCGGGGCCCCGCAGAGCAGGGGTGCCACACCCCCAGGGAGGGCCCCCCCACAGGCTCCCCGCGGCGGTGGCGGTGCTCCTGCCCGTGAGGCTGCGACCGCGGAGGGCCCAGTCTCGTTGTCGGCCTCTGCCTGCGTGAGCTTTGGCCACAGCGAGATGTGGGCCTGAGCCTGTCAGTTCTTGAGCATCTTGGGGCATCGCTCGGACGTGGGTATCTTGTCTCGGCGAGGACCGTCGAGGAGCCTGCTGTGTCAGCTTGGGGAAGAACACACGCACGACACCGAGAAATGCACAGGGGAATGGACGTCCCAGCGATGACGAGGCATTGAACCTGCGGGGAAGGCATAGCCCAGGTGGACTACCACGCGGCGGCCCGCGACGAAGATGCACCGCCCGCGGCCCGCGGGAAGACGAGACGCCGCCCGGGCGACACGCGATCGGGAACCGGGCCCGTGCCGCCTCCCCGGCCGCAGTCACGGGGGACCACGGAGCGGCCCGCGGACGAGGGAGCGTCGCTGGGGGGGCCACGATGCCGCGGCGAGGGCAGGTACATTCTCGGACCACGTGTCCTTGAAGCAGAAGGGCGAGGAGCGCGCCGCCCTTCGGGCAACTGCCGCCGTCCGCCGCCGCCGCCGCCGCCGCCGTCGTCGTCGTCGTCGCCGCCGCCGCCGTCGTCGCCGTCGTCGCCGTCGTCGTCGTCTTCGTCGTCGTCGCCTGCGTAGTCTTCGGCTGCGTCGTCCTCCTCCTCCTCCTCCTGCTCCTGCTCCTCCTTCTCCTTCCAGAGCCATCCTGGCTCGAAGCGTTTCGCCTCAAGGGGCACACTTCCCGGGGGTGGTGCCATCGACGGTCTCTGGGGGGCCCGGCGCGGCCCGCCCGCGCGGCCCGCGACACGTCTGCGGGCGGGTCCCCCCCCCTGCTGCGAGCTCCCGGCTGGGGCCTCCGCACGCGCGACCCGCGCCTCTCCCGTCGACGCCTGCCTCTCGGGACCAGCCTCCGGTCGGGCGTGGTCCCTCGACAGGAGGGATGCCCAAAAAGAGTCCAAACATCGTCGGGGGACTGTGTTTCTTGGGGTGGTTGACTATTTGGGAGTAGGGTTTGAACCTGTTTCTTCTAGCATTTCGTCCAAAATCCGCCTGTAGGGGGGCACGCCCGACCTAAGACCAGCTGCTGCCGCCATGGGTGGGTGGGACACGTCCAAGAGCACTTCGACGGCATCTGGCCAATTTGACGGGAGCCCCTGACCGCAGACAGATCTTCCGGCATCCCCTGCGGGCACCGTGTGAATTCCGGGTGCCTCGCCGCCAGACCAAGCCACCAACCTTTTGGGCGACGGATCTGTCCCCTTGTGCCATCATGCAGGGGCGAGGACAGTGGGACACCGTCGCCTGCGCAGCAGATAGCAGCGGGGATCCAAACATGAGAATAGGACTCAGGTCAACAGGAGGAGGAAGAGGAGGAGGAGGAGGAGGAGGAGGAGCAGGAGGAGGAGGAGGAGGAGAAGGACGAGGAGTGGTCGGAGATCTGGGGAGGACCTCCCCCTTTGCCGGCAGGACGCGTTGACCCCCACCCTGAGCTACCCGGCCGGGGAGCCGCTGGCATCGCCCGCCCGCCCGCGCGGAGCCGTCGCGCCGCCGCGTGCGCCCGCTGGTCGCGGGCGGGGCACGTGTCGATTCGATTCGGATCCTCCGACTCGATCCGATTCGGTTTCGATGGATTCCGATTCGATTTCGACTTCGGATCCCGATGTGGATGCCAATGTCTCAACAACGCATGACTGCTCTGCCAGTTTCTGCCGATGGGGCTCCTCCCGACTGGGCTGCCAAATGCCGCCCAGTCAATCCACTACGATCGCCGATTCGACTTGTCGATTCGATGTTGGGCTCTCCTGCCAGGGGAGGGGGGGTGGCAGGTCAGGGGCAAGGTATGCGATGGGGGTGAGGTTTCGCGTTCGAGAATGTTTGAGGCGTTCGTATGTTTTCGGGGGTCCTGGCGGCTTTCCGGCCTCGTGGTGCCGTTCTGCAGCTGCGCCTCGCCGATAGCGTTGCGGGGGTGCCCTGACGGCCCCAACCGTCCACCGGAGAGTCGAGCTATCCGAGCATTGAGAGGAATCCCACCCAGATAAGTCGATTGAGGAAATTTGCTTTGGTTCACTCGACACTGGCATCCGATTGTGAATGGCACCCTTCGGGAAGGGGGCGTGTCACTGGCACCCTTCGGGGAGTGGGCGTTCTGGCAAAACGTGCTTGTGGATGTTCCAAGGTGTGCCCCGAACGCCCGGGACAGCGTGATCAGTTTTGGGGAGGTAGGCCTAAGGTGGACATGTGCCTCTACAGGAGGATCATTCATCCAGAATCAAAAAAGTCTGGGGACGACGTTGCTACCACTTTTGAATAGTTGCGAGTATCAGTTGCGTTGTTCTGCTGTCTGGCAAAATCCGCCTGTAGGGGGACATGCCCGACCTAAATACCGACGATGTGTCGCCGTTTGCATGCCCTCCCGTTTGTCGGTCCCACCCAAAAAGCGCCCCCCCTTGCTGGAGGTCCGAGGGGCTCGAGGATCAAGGGTTGCGCTTGCGTGGTTGGTGTCTTGGTGTTTTTCGGGCTGTGGGGGCTCTCGTCGCCCACGGCCAGAGTCGCCCCGAGAGGTTGTGGCCAGAGCGCGCCGTTGGAGGGCGTCGGAATCCGCCCTGGACCAGAGGAACACGCGATCGATCCTCGATTGACTTAGGTTTGAAGTTTTTTATGGTTTACCAGCCTCGAACTTATCCCTATCCCTAAGATTGACACGCCAAAAGGCGATGACAATCTTAGGGATGCGCCCTCAAAAAAAGAGGAATCCCTGAGATTGGCATCGTGATGGGGCGATGCCCAGCATATGGATAGGGATATGTTCCAGGCTGGTAAATGGTGCTTCTCGCGCAATGCGAGGGCCGTCGTCGCCACGGCGGGGTCCGCCTGACGCCCCATGTTGATCGCGATGTAGCAGGCGTGGCATTTGAGCACCCTGAGGAGGAGCCGCCAGGAGTGAGGACAGCTGCCCGTTCGCGCCCAGATTGTGGGGGTGACTCAGGCGGCTTGCCTGTTTTGTTGGTCGGTCTTCCTTGTTTTCAGAGCCCCGTGCACTCATCACCATGTAGCAGGCGTGGCATCTGAGCACCCTGAGGAGGAGCCGCCAGGGGTGAGAACAGTTGCCCGTTCGCGCTCAGATTGCGGGGGTGACTCAGGCGGCTTGCCTGTTTTGTTGGTCGGTCGTCCCTGCTCTCACAGCCCCGTGACTCATCACCATGTAGCAGGCGTGGCATTTGAGCACCCTGCGGAGGAGCCGCCAGGAGTGAGGACAGCTGCCCGTTCGCGCCCAGATTGCGGGGGTGACTCAGGCGGCTTGCCTGTTTTGTTGGTCGGTCTTCCTTGTTTTCAGAGCCCCGTGCACTCATCACCATGTAGCAGGCGTGGCATCTGAGCACCCTGAGGAGGAGCCGCCAGGGGTGAGAACAGTTGCCCGTTCGCGCTCAGATTGCGGGGGTGACTCAGGCGGCTTGCCTGTTTTGTTGGTCGGTCGTCCCTGCTCTCACAGCCCCGTGACTCATCACCATGTAGCAGGCGTGGCATTTGAGCACCCTGCGGAGGAGCCGCCAGGAGTGAGGACAGCTGCCCGTTCGCGCCCAGATTGCGGGGGTGACTCAGGCGGCTTGCCTGTTTTGTTGGTCGGTCTTCCTTGTTTTCAGAGCCCCGTGCACTCATCACCATGTAGCAGGCGTGGCATCTGAGCACCCTGAGGAGGAGCCGCCAGGGGTGAGAACAGTTGCCCGTTCGCGCCCAGATTGTGGGGGTGACTCAGGCGGCTTGCCTATTTTGTTGGTCGGCCTTCCCTGTTTTCAGAGCCCCGTGCACTCATCACCATGTAGCAGGCGTGGCATCTGAGCACCCTGCGGAGTAGCCGCCAGGGGTGAGCACAGTTGCCCGTTCGCGCCCAGATTGTGGGGGTGACTCAGGCGGCTTGCCTGTTTTGTTGGTCGGTCTTCCCTGTTTTCAGAGCCCCGTGCACTCATCACCATGTAGCAGGCGTGGCATTTGAGCACACCGAGGAGGAGCCGCCAGGAGTGAGGACAGCTTCCCGTTCGCGCCCACATTGTGGGGGTGACTCAGGCGGCTTGCCTGTTGTGTTGGTCGGTCTTCCCTGTTTCCAGAGCCCCGTGCACTCATCACCATGTAGCAGGCGTGGCATCTGAGCACCCTGCGGAGTAGCCGCCAGGGGTGAGCACAGTTGCCCGTTCGCGCCCAGATTGTGGGGGTGACTCAGGCGGCTTGCCTGTTTTGTTGGTCGGCCTTCCCTGTTTTCAGAGCCCCGTGACTCATCACCATGTAGCAGGCGTGGCATTTGAGCACACCGAGGAGGAGCCGCCAGGGGTGAAAACAGTTGCCCGTCCGCGCCCAGATTGTGGGGGTGACTCAGGCGGCTGACCTGTTTTGTTGGTCGGTCTTCCCTGTTTTCAGAGCCCCGTGCACTCATCACCATGTAGCAGGCGTGGCATTTGAGCACCCCGAGGAGGAGCCGCCAGAAGTGAGGACAGCTGCCCGTTCGCGCCCAGATTGTGGGGGTGACTCAGGCGGCTTGCCTGTTTTGTTGGTCGGTCTTCCCTGTTTTCAGAGCCCCGTGCATTCATCACCATGTAGCAGGCGTGGCATCTGAGCACCCTGCGGAGGAGCCGCCAGGGGTGAGAACAGTTGCCCGTTCGCGCCCAGATTGTGGGGGTGACTCAGGCGGCTTGCCTGTTTTGTTGGTCTGTCTTCCTTGTTTTCGGAGCCCCGTGCACTCATCACCATGTAGCACGCGTGGCATTTGAGCACCCTGCGGAGGAGCCGCCAGGGGTGAGAACAGTTGCCCGTTCGCGCCCAGATTGTGGGGGTGACTCAGGCGGCTTGCTTTTTTTGTTGGTCGGTCTTCCGTGTTTTCAGAGCCCCGTGCACTCAGCAGGCGTGGCATTTGAGCACCTAGAGGAGGAGCCGCCAGGGGTGGGGACATAATCCTGTTCGGGCCCACTTGGGAGGTCTCCGGCGGTGTGCCTGTTTGGTTGGTTGGTTTTCCTTCCTTCCAAGGCCCCATGCCCACCGCGTTGTAGCAGGCGTGTCGTCTGAGCACTCCAAGCCCCCGGGGGTGGGGACATTTGCCCATTCGCGCCTGGTTTCGGGGATGTCTCAGGCGGCTTGCCTGTCTCGTTGATTGGACTCTTTAGGACCCCACGCTGAGCGTGGCACTTGAACGCCCCAGGGAGGTGCCGTCAGGGGTGGGGAAATATGCCCGCCTGCGAGATGTCTGCGGCGGTTTCCCGTTTGGTGGCTTGGGCTTCCGCGTTTTCAGCATAGGTTGTGAAGATGCCTCTGGCGAGGCGCTGATTTCAGCACCCCGCGGGAGAGCCGCCACAGGGGGGGCCACCCGCCCGTTCGCATCCAGATTATAGGGTTATAGGGATGTCTCAGGCGGTTTGCCCCCTTTCTCCTCCTCTTCCTCCTCCTCCTCCTCCTCCTCCTCCTCCTCCTCCTCCTCCTCCTCCTCCTCTCCCTCCTCCTCCTACCATGTGATTTATCAAGTTTCGTGCCCCTCGCACCCCTTCAGGGAGGCCCTGCCTGAGCGAGGACAGTATTCGGATACTAGGTGATTTATATGGTTTCGCGCCCCTCCCACCCGTCCAGGGAGGCCCCGCCTGAGCTTCGCCCACGCCGTAACGCCCCTGAAGCGCAAACGCGCCTTGGACGACGCAGCCTCGGCCTCCGTGGCTGCGGACATGACAGCCCGCAGCCGCGGGCTTGCCGAGGTGTGAGATGCTCTTTCTGCAGGGCTGTCTCCGCGCGCCTTTGCGCGTGCTTGAACCTCGGACGGAGTCCTGGAGGTCATTGTTTGATCTTGGATTTACATGGAGTTCCAGCCATGTGTACACGTGAAAACAGGAGCGCCGACGGCCGTCTACGTCACCCCACGCACCCGCAATTACCATCGTCATCCTCGCTATTGTCTGCCTTTCCTCTTCTCCTTCCTCTTCTTCGTCCGTCCCACTGTATCGACTTTCCTGCTCTCGCTCGCCCCCACAGCTCTGCGCTGCAAAAGAGCACGCTGCCGAGTGCAGCTTTCGTTAAGTGTCGCAGGTTTCGTGCCCTCCCGGTGTCTCCAGAGGTGCCTCCCCTGAGCGGCGAGGGTGTTCAGATGCCGTGCTGCCCCCATAGGTGTCGTGCCCCGTCCATCCGTCCAGCGGAGGCCCCGCCTCGGCCTTATGTGGGGAACTTCGGTAGCATCACTTTCCAAGGACACCCTCTCCTTCTCCTTCTCCTTCTCCTTCTCCCGCTTCCTGTTCCACATGCCATCCAAAAACCATACCATACCATGACATACCATACAATAACTTACCATACCATACAATACCATACGATTTCCTGTTTCACCATATCATCTGATTTCCATTCTACCCGTCCAGGGAGGCCCCGCCTGAGCGAGGACAGTGTTCGCATTCGCATACCATGTGATGTATCGGGTTTCGTGCCCCTCCCACCCGTCCAGGAACGCCCTGCCTGAACGAGGACAGTATTCGGATACCATGTGATTTATTAGGCTACGTGCCCCCCCCCACCCGTCCAGGGAGGCCCCGCCTGAGCAAGGACAGTATTTGGATGTCTCAGGCGGTTTGCCCCCGTTCTCCTCCTCTTCCCCTCCTCCTCCTCCTCCTCCTCCTCCTCCTCCTCATCCTCATCCTCATCCTCCTCCTCCTCCTCCTCCTCCTCCTCCTCCTCCTCCTCCTCCTCCCCCTCGCCCTCCTCGCCCTCGTCGGCTCCCCCCCTTTGGGCTTGGGCTTCGGCGCTTTCAGAACAGTGTGTGGGGATGTCTCGAGCGAGGCGCTAGGAGGAGCCGCGATGGGGGTAGGACATGTGCTTGGTCGTGCCCTGACTCTGGGGACGTCTCCGGCGCTTTGCCTGTGTGGTGGCCTTGGCGTCGGTGCTTGCATGACACACTGCCAGGATGTCTCGAGCGAGGCGTTGGTTCAGCACCCAAGGCGGCCAGTTCATGGGGATGCATCGAGCGAGGCGCTGGGGATCCCCGCATCGAAGCTGTCTTGTACACCATCATCGGCCAGCAACACCAAAAAACCGAAGTCTGGGGTTTGGAGGGGGGTGCGAGGGGCGAAGGGAGGGGGTTAAGGGGAAGAACGGTCGGCGTGTGGCGAGATGAAGTGGTAAGCTCTAAGGTGGACGGGGGGACTCTGCTTGCACGGGCTTTTGTGTCCAGGCGGGCTATCCGCACACAGGCTTGGCGCAGTTCGCTGATGCTTCGAACTGGCAGCTCGAAGTTCAGAGCCAGCGTGCTAGACCATTCGTCGGCGTCGGTCGTCGTCTTTGTCGTGCCCCAGGCGTTCCCAGATGGATTCCATAGGCCGCAGGAGCCTCCCGTGCCTGCCATGGACGTTCCCAGAGGGCTCCAAGAGGCCGCAAGAGAACCCAAGCGTTCGCCAATATGTTTCAAGAGAGTCCAAAGGAACCCAAGCAGGTCAAAGAGGCACCAAGGTCAGGCGGAGCCAAGGAGCGCCCAGAAGCTCCCCGCAGCCTGGAACGTCTGGCTCGTGGCTCGAGGCATCTTTGCGCAAGAGGTGCTCTTCTTCTTCTCGACCTGCAGAACTTTACACGAACTTGTTTTCTTCGCCGCCGGTGTCGGCCAGGGCCATGACGCCGTCCTCATTCGTCGCCCTGCTGCTGCTGCTGGTGGTTTCTCGCTCGCGCGCCACGGCCGGCGGCCGCGCGTGCCCAGACGCGGAGTCCCAGCTGCTCCAGCTCTCGAGCAGTCAGAGCTCTGGCGGCGGCGTCGGCTGGGGGCTGGCGGCCACCCACCCGCGGCGGACCTCAGCTGAGGAACAAATGCCCAGTACCGCTGCTCGTCCTGGAGAGTCTTCGTCGCCGCGGCTGGATTCGCCTCGAGATTCTGGCCAGAACGCACCCCAGGAGAGGTCAAGGGAGCAGCGGTAGGTATATCTTTTCGCTCCCCAGGAAATTCAGGAAAGACGAGCTCCTGCTGCCGCTGCAACTACGTCATGCGCATCCTCGTCCCGGCCGCGAACGTGCCCGCCGGCCCGCAGCAGCTTCACTTCAAGTTCGCACAGTCGAACAACGGCTTCGCGTACGTGGCTTTCGGTGAGGAGGAGTCCCCAGGAGTGATGAAGTCTGGCACCATCACGAACCTTTGTTTTGGCGGGCAGGCCGGCGACTGAACCACGGCCGTGTCTCTCCAGGCTTTTGCGTTGTACACGGAGTGGTTCGACTACGCGGTCGACACCGCCAACATTGTTACGTATCATACCGTCACCTCTGTGGCCCTGGCGGTCCCTCGTCGGGGACAACCCCTGACGGCGTGGCGCTCAGCGTTTACAGCGCTGATACAAACGACGCATACACGTATTGGTCAACTTCTGGTACTACGACGTGGTACAACGCCCTCCGCGACAACGGTCTGGCCGAGACCCTTCGCGGACCCAGTGCGCTCGTGTACGGCCACTACTCGCGCGATCCGGGCGCCGGCATCACATGTGGCTGGAACACCGCGAGTCGAATCGAAGGCATCCAGAGTATCGAGTCTCAGGCTAGTCCAATCCCTAGCCCCACGCCAAGCCCGACGCCGTACCACACGGCCTTCCCGACGCCTTACCCGACGCCGTACCCGACGCCGTTTCCGACGCCCTACCCGACGCCCTACCCGACGCCGTACCCGACGCCGTATCAGACGAAGTATCCGACGCGTTACCCGACGCCGTACCCGACGCCGTTTCCGACGCCCTACCCGACGAAGTATCCGACGCGTTACCCGACGCTGTACCCGACGCGGTTTCCGACGGCCTTCCCGACGCCGTACCCGACGCAGTTCCCGACGCCCTACCCGTCGCCGTGCCCGACGGCCTTCCCGACGCCGTACCCGACGCCGTTCCCGACGCCCTAACCAGAGCCATACCCGATGCCGTATTCGACGGCCTTCCCGACGGACTTCCCGACGCCGTATCCGACGCCTTACCCGATGCCGTACCCGACGCCGTATCCGACGCCCTTCCCGACGGCCTTCCCGACACCGTATCCGGCGCCTTACCCGACGCCGTTCCCGACGGCCGTCCCGACGCCGTACCGGACGCCGTCGGCGGCGACTCCGCCGACGCCGATGGCGTCAACGCCAGCGCCAACGTCGGCGGCGACTCCGCCGACCTCGGCGACGGCCACCGGCGATCCGCACTTGCAAAACATCCACGGTGATCGGTTCGACCAGATGACGCCAAGTAAGGTTACATTGGTCAACATCCCACGTGGTAAGTGCGTCGAGGACGCGCTGCTGGCGATAGAAGCAGACGCGCGTCGCCTGGGTGGACACTGTGCCGACATCGATTTCCAGGAAGTGAACATCACAGGGGCATGGGCGGACAAGCTGAAGGCCGGGGGTGTCACCTTCAACGCCGAAGGCGTTCAGAGACACAAGGTGCCGAAATGGATGAATTTCGGGCCGCTGGAGGTCAAAGTCGTCCACGGGCGCACGGAGAAGGGGATACAGTATTCGAACCTATTCGTCAAACACCTTGGGTATGCTGGCTTTGCAGTCGGTGGGCTACTGGGGGAAGATGATCACACTGATGCAGCGAGGATCCCAGCACAGTGCTGGACCACGATTTCGCTGCGTAAGCCGAGCCGGACCAGCGTGCAAGTTGAGCGGGCCTCGGTCGCGACCTCCAGCTGAGTCGACTTCCCGCCCATGTTGTTTATTTTCCATTTTGTCTCCAGCACCACTCCCGCTTCTTGTATTTAACTTCGTCCCGTTTCGCGACCCTTACGCATGGGGCGCCGCCGCCCCTCCCTTCGGACTTTTTTTGGCTGAGGAGGGGGCCGAGGCGGAGGCCGTCCTCGAGGGCTCTGGCGGGCATTCGTCCCCGGGCCATCTCTATTTCCGCAGCGCTGCCAGTTCCAGCGGCGCTCACTTTGAGAAGCTTCACTCGCGGACCCCCCCGAAAAGATCTCCCCAGATGGCCCCGAGAGGGCCCTGGGATGGATCCAGGAGGCCGCCAAGATGGTTGAAGAGCAAAGGTGCACAAGTCTACATAAGTTTGAGTCGTCCCTTTTGTCGCCCATGTCGTGGTCGTCGTCATCGTCGTCCTCGCCATCTGCTCCCCAACCTTCCCACTCTCCTCCTCCTCCTCTGTCTGCGTCCATCAGAATAGTTATCGATTTGTCGTAAACCAGATTGGGAACATTCGCTCTCAAGATCGTCCTCCTGCGACTGGCTTTCTTGTTCCACTACTCAGCGCATCCGGGTTGCGCAGCGCGCGGGTTGGCACTGGGATTGTGCACCGCACTTGTGCGCGGTTGCTCCCGGCGGCGCGCGCGCGCCCGTCATCCGCGGGCGCGCGCGGCGGCATCCAGGTCGGAGATTTCAGGTCATATCGGGGCCAAGCTTGGGACATCTGGGGCTCTCTTGAGGGGACCTTGGGCCATCTTGGACGCCCAGCACGCCCGCGGACCCTGGGGAGGGGTAGAGGGAGGGGTAGAGGGCCTCCCCGGCAGCGACTTAAGTGGTTGGCGGAGCAAGCGCTCTAGACCACTTCGGCCCAGGGAGCTGGTGGGGGTAGGGGTCAGTCGTGGACGCCCAACCTGGCTGCCGCCGCGCGCGAGGGCGGCCCGCGAGTGCGCGCGGCGGCATCTGGGTCGGACGATGACAAAGGGGGGAGGGGACAAGGACAAGAAGGGGGGGAGGAGGAGGAGGATAGAAGAGGAGGGGGCGAAAGGGGGGCCAGGACGACGGGGAGAGGGGGAGAGGAGCGGAGGAAGGCGGGAAGGGGAGGCGGGAGGGCGTGCGCGTGCGTGGCGGCACGTGGGTTCTACAGCGAGGATCCCAGCACAGTGCCGGACCACGATTTCGCTGCGTAAGCCGAGCCGGACCAGCGTGCAAGTTGAGCGGGTCTCGGTCGCGACCTCCAGCTGAGTCGACTTCCCGCCCATGTTGTTTATTTTCCATTTTGTCTCCAGCACCACTCCCGCTTCTTGTATTTAACTTCGTCCCGTCTCGCGACCCTTACGCATGGGGCGCCGCCGCCCCTCCCTTCGGACTTTTTTTGCTGAGGAGGGGGCCGAGGCGGAGGCCGTCCTCGAGGGCTCTGGCGGGCATTCGTCCCCGGGCCATCTCTATTTCCGCAGCGCTGCCAGTTCCAGCGGCGCTCACTTCTGAGAAGCTTCACTTGCGGACCCCCCCGAAAAGATCTCCCCAAATGGCCCCGAGAGGGCCCTGGGATGGACCCAGGAGGCCGCCAAGCTGGTTCAAGAGCAAAGGTGCGCAAGTATACATATAAGTGGGACCGGGGCCAGGGGCCGGGGGCCAGCGCCTCGACTACAAATGTGGGGCCCGGGCGTCATTTTATTTTTGTTTTTTTAAAGGTTGTGGTGACCCGGGGCCAACAGGGCCCCATGGGAGGCCCCAGGAGGCCGCAGCGATGGCTCCAGACGCCTTTCAAGACGACTCCCATAACGCCAAGAAGGCCCCGAAGTCCCCGGAGACGCCCCAAGAGGCACCCCGAGAGAGCCCCAACAAGCAAAAATCGTAGATTTCCCATCGGGAAACTTATTTTTTTGGCGTGTTCGCCTTTTGGGCTTTCACTACGTCCAAGACGGCCCAAGAGGCCCCCAAGACTGCCCCACAGGCTCCCAAGAGGGCTCCAAGACGACCCCAAGAGGGTCCCAAGACGGCCCGAGAGGCCCCCAAGACAGCCCAAAAGAGCCCCAGGACGAGCCCCAGAGGGGTCCCAGAGGTTCACAACCATATTCAAATCAGGCCGGCCCCCAGGAGACCCAAGAGGCTCCAAGAAGCGGCCAAGAAGCCCCAAGAGGTCCCCAAGAGACACGAACAAAACACCAAAAGAGGCCTCGAAGACGCCCCAAGAGGCACCCCAATAGAGCCCCAAATAAGGAAACATCGGCGATCTCCTGTGGGAAAATTGATATTTTTGGCGTGTTCGCTTTTTGGGCTTCCACTGCGTCCAAGACGGCTCAAGAGGCCCCCAAGACTGCCCCACAAGCTCCCAAGAGGGTCCCAAGACGACCGCAAGAGGGCCCCAAGACGGCCCGAGAGGCGCCCCAAGACAGCCCAAGAGAGCCCCAGGACGAGCCCCAGAGGGGGCCCAGAGGTGCACAACCATGTTCAAATTCCGAGTTTTCGGCGCCACACATGTGGGGCCCGGCGCGCCGGGAGCCCTGCCAGAGCGCCGGGGGCCTTCCAAGATTGCCCGGAGATGGCTTCGGAACGCTCGAAAACGCAAGCCGATGGCTCCGGATGCCTTTCAAGACGACTCCCATGACGCCAAGAGGGCCCCCGAAGGCTCCTAAGACGCCCACGAGGCACCCCCAGAGAGCCCCAATAAGCAAAAGTCGTCGATTACCTATCGGGAAGCTGATGTTTTTGGCGTGTCCGCCTTTTGGGCTTCCACTGTCCAAGACGGCCCAACGGGCACCCAAGCCGGTCGAGGATGCCCCCAACAATTCCCCAAGACGGCCCACGAGAGGGCCAAGGCGGCCCACGAGGCGCCCAAACCGCCCAAGAACGCTCCAAGGCGGCGCCCAAGACGGGGACGTGGAACCCGAAATTCGCGCTCTTTCGCCCAAGAGACCCCCAGGAGACCCCAAGAGGCTCCAAGAAGCGCCTCAGAAGCCCCAAGAGGCCCCCATGAGACCCGAACAAAACACTCAAAGCGGCCCCGGAGACGCCCCAAGAGGCACCCCAATAGAGCCCCAAATAAGGAAACATCGTCGATTTCCGATAGGGAAACTGATGCTTTTGGCGTGTTTTGCCTTTGGGGCTTCCACTGCGTCCAAGACGGCCCAAGAGGCACCCAAGCCGTTCGAGGATGCCCCCATGAGGGCTTCGCAAGTTGCGCGGGTGTCGGTCGCGACCGCCAGCTGAGTCGACCTCCCGCCCTTTTTGTTAGCTTTTCCTTCTTGTCTCCAACACTCAGGAGGGAAAGAAACACACAGACACAATTAATCGTCGATTCCCCAGAAAAGATGGGAAACTATGGGAAGTGGGGGGGAAGACAAAAACCCAGTACATAGGGGAAAATCAGGGGAATCCTGTTGTTTGTGTCTATTTATTTGTGTGTCCCAGGGCCCCTTCAAACACCACTCCCGCTTCTTGTATTTAACTTCGTCCCGTCTCGCGACCCTTACGCATGGGGCGCCGCCGCCCCTCCCTTCGGACTTTTTTTGCTGAGGAGGGGGCCGAGGCGGAGGCCGTCCTCGAGGGCTCTGGCGGGCGTTCGTCCCCGGGCCGTCTCTGTTTCCGCAGCGCTGCCAGTTCCAGCGGCGCTCACTTCTGAGAAGCTTCACTCGCGGACCCCCCCGAAAAGATCTCCCCAGATGGCCCCGAGAGGGCCCTGGGATGGATCCAGGAGGCCGCCAAGATGGTTGAAGAGCAAAGGTGCACAAGTCTACATAAGTTTGAGTCGTCCCTTTTGTCGCCCATGTCGTGGTCGTCGTCATCGTCGTCCTCGCCATCTGCTCCCCAACCTTCCCACTCTCCTCCTCCTCCTCCTCCGTCTGCGTCCATCAGAATAGTTATCGATTTGTCGTAACACAGATTGGGAACACCATTCGCTCTCAAGATCGTCCTCCTGCGACTGGCTTTCTTGTTCCACTACTCAGCGCATCCGGGTTGTGCAGCGCGCGGGTTGGCACTGGGATTGTGCACCGCACTTGTGCGCGGTTGCTGCCGGCGGCGCGCGCGCGCCCGTCATCCGCGGGCGCGCGCGGCGGCATCCAGGTCGGAGATTTCAGGTCATATCGGGGCCAAGCTTGGGACATCTGGGGCTCTCTTGAGGGGACCTTGGGCCATCTTGGACGCCCAGCACGCCCGCAGACCCTGGGGAGGGGTAGAGGGAGGGGTAGAGGGCCTCCCCGGCAGCGACTTAGGGGGTTGGCGGAGCAAGCGCTCTAGACCACTTCGGCCCAGAGAGCTGGTGGGGGTAGGGGTCAGTCGTGGACGCCCAACCTGGCTGCCGCCGCGCGCGAGGGCGGCCCGCGAGTGCGAGGGCGGCCCGCGAGTGCGCGCGGCGGCATCTGGGTCGGACGATGACAAAGGGGGGAGGGGACAAGGACAAGAAGGGGGGAGGAGGAGGAGGATAGAAGAGGAGGGGGCGAAAGGGGGGCCAGGACGACGGGGAGAGGGGGAGAGGAGCGGAGGAAGGCGGGAAGGGGAGGCGGGAGGGCGTGCGCGTGCGTGGCGGCACGTGGGTTCTACAGCGAGGATCCCAGCACAGTGCCGGACCACGATTTCGCTGCGTAAGCCGAGCCGGACCAGCGTGCAAGTTGAGCGGGCCTCGGTCGCGACCTCCAGCTGAGTCGATTTCCCGCCCATGTTGTTTATTTTCCATTTTGTCTCCAGCACCACTCCCGCTTCTTGTATTTAACTTCGTCCCGTCTCGCGACCCTTACGCATGGGGCGCCGCCGCCCCTCCCTTCGGACTTTTTGTTGCTGAGGAGGGGGCCGAGGCGGAGGCCGTCCTCGAGGGCTCTGGCGGGCATTCGTCCCCGGGCCATCTCTATTTCCGCAGCGCTGCCAGTTCCAGCGGCGCTCACTTCTGAGAAGCTTCACTTGCGGACCCCCCCGAAAAGATCTCCCCAAATGGCCCCGAGAGGGCCCTGGGATGGACCCAGGAGGCCGGCAAGCTGGTTCAAGAGCAAAGGTGCGCAAGTCTACAT